GGAGTCGGCGGAAGGAGAACAATTCCTCCTCCCCGCAGTGAATTCATCCAGCGCGGCTGAGGCCAGAGCTGAGAACCGTTCCCCAGAACCTTCCCTGTGCTCCTGCTTCCTTAGCTCCAGGCCATTGCTCCTTGTCCTGCTATCTTCTGAGACCAGAGAATTCCCTTCCTTCATTTATATTATTACCTTGAAGGTATTTATAGACTGTGATTGAGGCCCCCTGAGCCTTCTCTCTTTGAGACTATGTAAGTTTAGCTCCCGCAGTCTCTCCTCACACATCTTACCCTCTAATTCCTCTATTGCCTCTTCATATTTCCTCTAATATTTTAAACACTCTTCCTAAACTCCAAGCACCTGAGCCAGCTGTAGTGTATCACTAAGCAGGGCAATGCTATTAATGCCTACTTAATATTCACTTTCCCTGAAATTCATCCAAGACCAGTACCAGCTTGTGCCCTTGCACATAGTATTGTGTGCTCCCATTTTGTCGACTGCTATCAAATATTAAATCTTTCCTTCTGCCTTTGTGCGAATCTCAGTGCTAGTGCTGTTTTGGTCCTATTTTTTATAGTTATAATTCATCCTGATTTTCATCAATCATCATGATTTTTTACTTGTCTTGATTTGCTTTTTACACAGTTTTATTTTTTATTGGTGTTTGTTTGTTTGTTTTAGCTTGCAACCTGGCTATACCTTAGTTGTCTGTGCTTTAGGTTACCTTGTGCCCGTCTAAATGTGGTACAACATGTCGGGTCCTGTAGGGTCCACTGTGCCCTCAGATACTGAAAGATGACTATACAGCACACCTCAAAAGCATGTCACTTCTCAGAAGCGAAAGCCATTTTTATCACAAATAGCAGCATATGGTGTCAAAGAAATGCAAATGCATCCTTATCACCAATAATTCACCTGCCCCCCAGTCTGAAAAGTTGAGGAACCGTTATTATTATGACCGATGCACAAAAGGCTGAAGACAGAGGAATGAGTCATCACTTTCTTTATTCTGCTAGGTACTTTATGACAGAGGCTGAATATTAAAAGTAAAGACCTGATTTTCCATGATACTGCTAGGTCTTAGAGCCTTTCTTCCAGTGAAATGTTAAAAATCATAGTGCTGATACTGAGCACACTCAGTACCATGGATCAGACCCTGAAGGAGAACTGACCTTGTCAGTAATGATGGTGAGCACTGGAGTAGGAGTTGTTTTATTGATATAAATGGCAGGTTTCCTAAAGGGAGCTGCTGCATTTTGTATTGCACTTGTAACAGAGTGCATCCAGCGCAAGGGACAGAACACAGTGTCTCTTGTGACATATTTATAGGCAAGCATGAGGCTTTTTATTTAATTTTTACAAATGAACACAAAATGTAAGGCTGACTTGGTGAGAAAAGCAATCAAATTGGTGGTAGTTTAGGAATAAAAGTGATCTTGTGATAACAGCAGCAGTAGTGAATATTTTACTGTAGGAAAAAGGGATAAGAAACCCTTTTGACATATTGAGAACAAAACTAAGGATATGCAGAAACTGCAGGGCTAAAATTACATGAAAACAAGTAAGAAAATAATGGATGCAAAAAGAGCAGATCAGTCCCTTTGGCACCAGTACGTGTCCTGGAAAAGACTGTCAGTGCCCATGCTCAAAAGCTTTGTCACCCGTGCCCTCGCTGGTGACAGGGAGCGCTAATGCCCTGGCCCTTCTCTTTCCAGATGCTGGAATGCACAGATTTGGTACCTGCCAGATCAGTCTCATGGTGACTAAATGTTTGGTTTCTGTCATTTGAACTTATTTCATGCCCACGTATGAGAACAAAAAATGTTCAGCTGGGGTGGAGGAAAGCGTTCTTCCCAGATGCTTCAGCAAATTTCCAAAGACAATGAGAATGTAAATCAGCGAGCATTTATGGTACCAGCTTTGTCACTTCTTCACCAATCTGTCAGTCTGTTGTACTTTAGATGCTAATCAGTTGGTATAATAGCAAATTAAATCACTGAATTAAAAATATACTTTTCCTATGCTTTTTTCACCTTACTATTTGTCTGTCAGCATGAGATCATTATCGCCTGGCAAGGTTCTGTTCCATTGACTTTATCTCTTAATTATATAAAAATGAAAGACAGAGGAAAAACTAATATTTTACTGTTCAGGAAGCATTTCTAAAACTATCATTTAGATTTAAAGGACTGTCAATAAAGCAGAGGGGGGACGCTCTTCAGATTAGATATAATTGCTGTAGTAAGGAAAATGGATTACCTCTCTTAATCTGATAAGTAAATCAATCCTCATAAAAAATGGCACGAGTATTATAATCTCTCCTAGCTGAACCTTCTCCTTTGGTTGATGGCTGCAGGAAGCTGGAGAAGTCAGGAAGGTGATCACCAGAGTGGCTCCATGGGGTTTCACTGGAACCTCCCTGAGCTCCAATGTAAGAGGTTGGCCTCTTGATTCACTTCCATAGATGGCGCCTTCCAATCCTTTTCACTGCCAACAAAAGTGCTAGTCAGATACAGCTTTTTTCCCCCTTCCTTTCTTCTCTTTCTGTATTTAAGGCTAATCAGGCATTATTGGATCCTACAGGTACAAACTGGAAGCTTGGGATGGTCATTTGAAGGAACATAAATATTAAATGGAAATAAAACAGGACAAACTTTAATTTGAACTTCACCCATACCTAACAGTAATATGAGTTAGTTGGGCAGATTGTGGGCCTCTTTGTAGCTTTAACTGCAGGATGGTTGGGATGGAATTGGGTTTTCTTATTACTTTGTTTTTAATCCTGTTCTCTGCATCTGCATGGCAGCCACTGTTTTAATTGCTGTTGAGTGCAAACAGAAAGGAATTTGCATTCGTTCCTCAGAAGAAGCAAATGCCACGAGGCTGTACTTGAATTGGGAAAAAATAGTTCTATCAAAGAACTGGTCATGGCTCCATAATTAGGAGTGGATTCAGTTTTGCTCATAAATTAGGGCTATCCAAACAGTCTATATGTGCCTAATTTGATGGTTTAATAAATCCAAAACATTCCCTAGACTTAGTTCAGTTTACAGGCTACAAAAGAATTAAGTACGTGTCTTTCGGAACATTTAGTTCCCCACATTGAATGATTTTCTTCCCTAAAAGTCTTAGTCTTAGCTATAAGGGCAGAACCATCTAATCTGTCCTGTTAAAGTAAAATTTATAAGCAGTGCAGGGAACAAAAAAATAACTTAGGTTTGTTCTCAGTAAGTGAAGCTTACATCTTCTGCAGAGGTTTAATTAGCAATATTTTATCCTCAGAGAACTTTATGCAAAGGGCTTTCTTCCAGGTCTGTCTGCCACCTCCTTCTGGTCTGGTCTGAAAAAAAGGAGTGAGGATTTAAAAAAAAAAAAAAAAAAAAAAAAAGTTATTCATTTTTGAACTGAGAAGCCATTTCACAAAACAGCCATGAACTCTGTTCCTGCATTAATGGCTCCAAATTGGTCATAATTTGGAGCTAAGGGGCATAATTAATATTGTCTTGGAGTCAAAAGTGTTCATTTCCATGCTGGTAAAAGTTGCTTATTTGTATGTTTAAGGTTAATTCTGCAGTTCGGGCATTTTATAACACTAGGTGTTGTTACAGTTATTTTCAGCACCCCCATAATGATTTTACTCTAAAGTTGATGTGTCTTTACCATTAGTGGAGATGTGTTCCTAATGTTTAGCACAGGCAGGTGGTATGAAACTAAAAAGCCTGTCTAGATGGCAGACATCAAGAAGGCAGGTTTGAGGGGGTGGTGAAGGAATTTTGTTCCATGTGAGGCATGGGGAGAGAGGGAGAAAAGTCAGATCCTTGACAGCCATTTGTTTGATAGTTATAAAATATTTTGGGTGTTCAGAGTCAGCAAACTGGAATGGCTTGAGTGGCCATGGAGTATGTTAAGCGTACCAGATTTTTTTTAATACTTGGGTGCATCTCCCCCAAAATGAATACATTAGTCAAAGGGGACAAATTATAATTCCTTGCATTATATCTTTCCCAAGAAGAAAGAAGCAGCTTAACAACAAGTGAGAGATTTAGATGTGGAGGCAAGTGAGGCAATTAATTTCAGTTTATGCTCGCTGGAAAGCTGCTAGACCTTTACTCTGTATTTTCTGCAGAGAGGGTGCCATAATGGTTGCTTTAAAAGCAAAGCAAACCTCTGCCTTCTGCGCACTCTTCTCATGCAAGTCTCCAAATCCTTATGATTTATGGAGTTGCATCCAGTGCCTTCAAAATACACGTGCTGTAGATGAGACTCAGCTCAGATGTGCTAGGTAGTGCTCATCTTCAATGTCTCTTTGCAGTTAGGAACTGGGATGAAAGGAAGCGTGATGGATACTCAGGCTGGGTTGTGATGAGAAGCTTTGTTTTAAGTGAAGGCCAATGCATTGCCAAGTTGTCCCTGGGAAAACTACATTATTCTGTTAGAAAACATTTACTTAGTACAGTCTGTCCCTGTAAAGATATGCCAGGCAGCAACATTTTCTGGTTTGCTGGTACAGGTAAATGTTTAGCTTGTTTTGCTAGGAATCAAGTCTTCTTTTTTTCTCCCCCTCCTGCTTTAACAGGTTGTCATTCATATGTCCTCTAGTGTCGGGGCCTGTTAGCCTTCTCGGACTAAATGCTGAGAGAAGTGTCACAGCTCTTAGGCAGTTGGCATTCTTCAATTAGCCACGACAGTCTTGTGTTTGTGAGAAAATAAAGATTTGTCTATCTTTTGAGTTAACTGAAGCTATAGCCACTGCTATGGCAGTGATTAAGATGTCTCCAAGCTTGGTGTTTGTAGTTAGACCTTCTCTTTCATTAGATTTTCTGTATATTATATTAAAAATTCAGTTACTTTGTGTTTGTTTGTGTTTGTTTCTCCTGTCTCTAGGTACTAGTCTAGATGTTGAAAAGATAGATGTATCTATATATATATTTTTTTTTCTCCTATAGCATAGCTGGTATGGCTTGCTGTCATTTGAAACTCTCCATGTCTGCTCTTTTCCTGCCCAGCTGGTCTGTAACACCCCGACTACGTTCTTCCAACTCAAGTCAGCCGGGTAGCTTGTGTTCAGGTGACCATAACAGGAGCCAGTTCTGAAGCTGTTTGCTGCAGAGAAGCATTTTGAACAGAGGAATGACTTAAGCAGCTGCATTTCTGTTCTGCTTTCAGCATCTTTACCAGACTATAAAACATTTTTTTTCAAAATACATTAATATTGTAAATGCTTTTTCTACATCGTATTTTTTCTGGAAACAATTTTTTTCCTCCATGTTCATAGCATCAGATAAATGTATTATTTCCTTATCTGTAGCTGAATCGCTGTAAAACAGCATTTTGGTGGAAGAATGCCTTCACTGCCATGGGGTTCGAAACAGATTCACTTTGTTACCCATTGTTTGCTGCTCAGAAAATAGCATATAGCTGCTGGCCACGGTGCAGGTTTTATTTTCAGCATGTTTAGGATCCTGTTTTCTTAGAGGTTTTAAAAATTGCACAAATGAGCAATGGTATACATGTTCAGGATGATTTACATTTAATCTGTGCATGTTCAGAGCAGGCTACAAACGGCAAGCGTTGGAGACCTGTTAAAAATATGATTGAGACCAAAAGTACAGCACAGGCAATTTTTGTTCCAGAGCTTTTGCTGAGCTCTCATTGACTAGAGGAGAAAAAAAAACTAAACTTTATGTTTGGAAAATGTGTCTGAGGGCATTTCTTCCTTCTGAAAGCAGAATGTGTGGCTTTTCATCTCCAGTCAGGCATGCTCTTCTCTGTTTGCGTGTGTTTCTTTACAGAGCTTTAATGCACTTCTGTGTCACCATCTTCAAGTGCAATCAATATTAATGTAAGTAATCTCCAAGAGGATAAATCAAGGGGCAGAAGAGGCAATAAGACCCCGAGTAAGAGGTATGGGCCTGAGTTCAGAGCTGCGCACTCAGTGATGTGTGGTTTGGGGGAAGGATGGCTGTCACAGGTCACAAGGAGAAGGCAGGCATGTTAGTGGTGTTCACATAGGGTAGCTATCTGCGGAGACAAACAGATGTGATTCTGTTTGCAGACATGCATTGAATTAAACCAATATGTCTTTTGACACAGCAGAAAAGACATTCACCTACAACCATCCCACAAAGGTGGAATGTCAGGAATAAAATACTCACGTAAAAGTCTAGATTCACTAATCTGGGGCTCCCAAGGGACTTCAGGTCATCTAATAACTTGATGAAACAGAGTTCCTTAAAGGAAAGTGCTTCCTCTGGGACATAGATAACAATGGCAATGGGCCTCTTCCAGAGCTGTGGGATGAGCAAGGAACTGCCAATTGTGGGATGCAAGGTACGGGGAGTAGCTTTACAGGGGAGACTGGTGGCTTTTGATGGGTGTAGGATATGCTAGATATCAGACCCTGGAGATTAAATAATGTATTTGTTATTAAATGAGAACTTCACTACACTGTTAGAGGAAGGCAGCAATTTTACGATAGTCCATGGTATAGATTCTGCTTAGCAATTTACAAAAGGACCTGGCGGTGAATCTCTACAGCTCTGGCTGAGGTGACCTTTAAGTACATGAGAGGATGAAGCCTGGGAAAACACACCATAGACAAGCTCCAGTAGGGATGTTTTTCTCCATGTTTGTATTGTGATTTAAAGTAAAACCTTCTGTAAAAGCCACTTTCAGGAAAACACAAAAATGCAGTGTCTTGTGTTATTGACAGTTCTCTGCCAGGAATACAAATCAAAGACTTGGCACCCTAATTTTCCCTTTCAATATATCATTATAGTCTGCCAGAGTCCTTTGTGTCTGCTGGGCAATACACAACTTTCTTCTGGAGGGAAATAACCCTTTGCTTGCAGAGTGCAGTGTGTTTGGCCCGCGGGCTGGGCATGGTCAGGGTACCTGGGGGAGCTGGGGCTCAGCAGCCCATGTTGAGCCTGGCTTTGCTCCGGGGCTGGGCTGGGCCAGGAAAGGGACCCTGTGCTTTCCTCATCTCCCCCCAGCTGGAGGTTTTGGTGCTGTTGGGAGTGGGAAGGCCAGGGGCAGGCCGGGTCAGACTGAGCTGGCTGCTGTACATGTCAGCCCAGGGCTTATGTCTTGGGAGGAGCGTGGGCTCCTGGGGAGCTGAGAGTGGAAGAGGGAGACAGGCTGGAGTCTCCTAGGCTGCCCCACCCTCGCATGGAGTCTTGCTGCTGCAAGTGGTAATACAAAATAAGTTATTTTGTTCCTCAGCCTTTAGGAGAAGAAATTAACTTTTGCCTACGCCGCTGGAAAGCCTTGAGTTGCCCATGACACACAACCTTCACAGTCAATAGATGGAAACTAAAGAGCTTTCTCTCCTAAATGATGCCTCCAGAGGTCTATATGCTTCCGAAAATGTAGTTAAAGCGGAATGGCCACCAGTAAAAACTGACTTTCTGAATCTGTAAGTGGCATGATGGCTGGGACAAATCTTTAGTCTTGCCACAATTCTTGTATGTGCACTCAGCCATTGGAACAACTGCAGGAGCATTTTTATGTCCAGATTAAGGTATCAATGTTTGACCTACTCCCTGCCTTTGTCCTTCAACCTTGTCTCCCAAAACCTGGCATTTTATTTTCTTAAGAGGAAGAAACAGCAGCAGCTGAAATAGTGCTTCTGTAGTTAATGCACCTGGCTACAAATATGATAGGAGCCTATAATTTAATTTAGGAAAATTAGAAGGCTCTTTCTGACCCAGCAAAATTAGACATTGAAATCTATTTATCACCTGCAAACACAGAGCTCAGACAGCAACAGTGCAAACTTCTTCATATTGGTCCCTAGTGTGATACTAATGTCAGCCGGGAGTAAGAGAACTCATTTTGTGGTCCCTGCTTCAGAGCAGAGATTACCTATTGTGCTTAATTGTGTGCACTGGTTAGGAGGACATGGTATGGCTAGGGACGCTGCTGAAGCTGCTACACCTACGCTCCCTGGGTAGGGATTCAGGTTGCTTTCAGGCTGAAGAATTGGCACACACAGTTCTAGTGGAAAAAATGAGAACAAATACAGTCTTTTTATTTTTTCCCCTCCTCTAGATGCACTCACTTATAATTAAAGACTTGGAATTGTCAAATCTTCTAGTGTGATGTTAGCATCTGCTGTCCAAATGGAAATTGGACAGACTGCATTGTAATATGTGTATAATAATGTGCTAAGTTTTGATGTGGTTATTAAAAAAAGAATCTAGGAGACTGATTACTATCTTATGTTATCTATAAATGAGCTTGGACTTATTTATCTAGAAACTGGTTACCATTACCTACTGTCGTGGTTTAACCCGGCCGGCAGCTAAACACCACGCAGCCGTTCGCTCACCCTCCCCCCTCCCTCTCTGGGACGGGGGAGAGAAATGGAAAGTGAAGCCCGTGAGTTGAGATAAAGACAGTTTAATAAGACAGGAAAATAATAATAACAAAATAATAATAACAATAATAACAATAATAATAATATGGTGATAATAGGGAAATAATAATAATATGTACAAACAAGTGATGCACAATGCAATTGCTCACCACTCGCTGACCGATGCCCAGCCTAACCCCGAGCAGTCCGGCCCCCTTCCCCCGGCTAGCCACCCCTATATATTGTTTAGCATGACGTCAGATGGTATGGAATACCCCTTTGGCTAGTTTGGGTCACCTGTCCGGGGTCTGTCCCCTCCCAGCTCTTGCTGCACCCCCAGCCTGCCCGTTGGCAGGACAGAGCAAAAGGCTGAGATGTCCTTGGCTTAGTATAAGCACTGCTCTGCAACAATTAAAGCATCGGGGTGTTATCAGCACTCTTCTCATCCTAAGCCAAAACACAGCATTCCACCAGCTACTAGGAAGAAAATTAATTCTGTGCTAACTGAAACCAGGACATCTATCCACCCCTTATTCCATACCATTTATGTCATGCTCAGGTTACACTCTTTTCCATACATTCTAATTAGTCACCTATAGTAATCATGGTAGTGATAACATACAGTGTAATATACTAATTAACATGGTACAATTCAGTTTATGGGCTATTCTCACCCAGTATTAAATCTCCTTGAGGTACACACCGGACCTCTCCGTTCTTTTGCATCACCCACCAAGTGTATCCAGGTCCCTGAGCGAAAACAATTCCACGAATAGGTTTGCCTTTTCCTGAGGCAGGAGTAGCCCAGACTGTTTTACCCAGCATATTTTTTACATGCACTACAGGAACCTTATCCCCATCTACAGTACGTAACAGGTTTGATTGGGCAGGTCCAGCTCGGTTGGTAGATCCCCTAGTATTGACTAACCAGGTGGCCTTTGCCAAATGCGTATCCCAGTTTTTGAACGTCCCAGCGCCCATTGCTTTCAAGGTAGTCTTTAACAGGCCATTGTATCGTTCAACTTTCCCGGAGGCTGGTGCATGATAGGGGATGTGATACACCCATTCAATACCATGTTCTTTGGCCCAAGTGTCTATAAGGTTGTTTCGGAAGTGAGTCCCATTGTCTGATTCTATTCTTTCTGGGGTGCCATGTCGCCATAGGACTTGCTTTTCAAGACCCAGGATGGTGTTCCGGGCGGTGGCATGAGGCACAGGATATGTTTCCAGCCATCCAGTGGTTGCTTCCACCATTGTAAGTACGTGGCGCTTGCCATTGCGAGTTTGAGGGAGTGTGATGTAATCAATCTGCCAGGCCTCTCCATATTTATATTTCAGCCATCGTCCTCCATACCAAAGAGGCTTTGACCGTTTGGCTTGCTTGATTGCAGCACATGTTTCACAGTCATGAATAACCTGTGCTATAGCGTCCATGGTCAAGTCCACCCCTCGATCACGAGCCCATCTGTATGTTGCGTCTCTACCTTGATGGCCTGAGGTGTCATGGGCCCATCGGGCTATAAATAATTCACCTTTATGCTGCCAATCCAGGTCCACCTGAGCTACTTCAATCTTAGCAGCCTGATCCACCTGCTGGTTGTTTTGATGTTCTTCAGTAGCCCGATTCTTGGGCACATGAGCATCTACATGGCGTACTTTCACAGCCAGGTTCTCTACCCGAGCAGCAATATCTTGCCACAATGCAGCAGCCCAGATGGGTTTGCCCCTGCGCTGCCAGTTGTTTTGCTTCCATTGCTGTAACCATCCCCACAGGGCATTTGCTACCATCCATGAATCGGTGTAGAGATAGAGAACTGGCCATTTTTCTCGTTCAGCAATGTCTAAAGCCAGCTGAATGGCTTTCACTTCTGCAAACTGACTCGATTCACCTTCTCCCTCAGCAGCTTCTGCAACTCGTCGCGTAGGACTCCTACACCTTCTAAATTCTGATTCAAAGAGCCACCTTTTCACTGAGAATTCAGTATTACCTTTGAGTTTTGTACTTGTGATTTATGGCATGTATTGCATAATTAGCAAGTATTGCAGTGCACGAGGTATTCTGTTGGTAGAGACATGGATGCGTTTTTCTGATTTGCAGGTGTAATTAATTTATCTTTCAAAAATTCAGCACCAGAAGTCTTTGGAACTGCCTCCTCCTCCAAGTAGTGACACCGTGCGCTGGCATCCAGGTGCTGGCACTGTAACACATTATTTTGCCTAATACCATTTTATGCTCTTTCCTGTGAATTTCAAAGCTTTACTTAGTTTTCAGGCCTGGAGGCTGTTGTCATTCAG